TAGTCATCAGGTCATCCTGAAACCAGGATATCCTATCCAAAAGGGGCTCCTCCAAATACAGAAAATTCTATAAAAGGAAGTATAGAGGATGCTAGGTGATTGAAGAATCAAGTGAATAGTTCAGTTCATTTATATTGGTTCCCAAATGAAACAAGACAATCAGGTTTTGTATTGATTTCTGACACCATGTCCAGTTTACTAAGTTTGATGCATACCCAATGCCCTGGATCAACGAATTGCTGTAATAGCTAGGAAAAGGCAAATTATATATCAACACTGGATTTAATGAAGGGTACTGGCAAAGACCCCTTGCACCAGTGTCCCAAGACTAACAGGATTCACAAGGCCACAGTTTAGAACACTCCCTTCCCACTTCCATGCTGCCCAGTCTGTCCAATAGATCAGATATGCCGATGCATCAAAAGCATGCCACAGCCAATCTTGATGATGTGGTGGTGCTCATAAGTAGCAGGAAGGAACATCTCCACCAGGTCTGGGCAGTGCTAGTCACTTCAGGATGCAGGCCTAACAGTGAACCTGGCAAAATGCAGACTTAGCTGTTCAGAGAAGTAAATGCTAGGCACATCATTGATTAAACCCCTCATTAACAAAGTAACAGTTTTAGTAGAGTCCCTTGTACCAAAAACAAGAAAGCAGCTAAAGTTCTTCCTGGGATTTGTGAGTTTCTATCTACGCTTTATCCCTGCTTCAAGGCAATTACTTCCCCACTAACAGACAAGCTAAGCATGACAGTACCCAAAATAATGCAGCACTCTCCAACACAGGATGATCAACCTTCAAAGAAATAAAACAGATACTATGCACTACACACCCTGGTATAGCATGGTCAGGACTTGAGTTGCAAATTTATTTTACAGATTGAAGTCTCAGGGCAAGGCCAAGAGCCACAGACAACTTCTCCCAAGAAGGAGGGGAACTAGATATGAAGGAGTGGATTTCAGACCCACTCTTGGTGGGGAAGATGTGTAAAAGGGTGGTCTGCCCTTTAAAAAGGAAGTCAGCCCTGTTAAAGCCCAGCTGTGGGGCTATTTGGGTAAGCAGGGTATGTCCCACTGGGAACTTCAAAGCAATAAAGGAGGAGGAATCAAGCAAGCTGTGAAGGGAACAGTTTGCTGTAGGGAGGGGCCAAGCTGCTGTGGTAGCAAGACTCCCCTCCTAGTGTCTGGGCATGGACAATTGGATTGTTTTGTTGTTTTGTTTACTTAAAGTTGAATTTTGCTTTGAAGAACTGGCTGAGGAGCCCATAAAGGAGCAAGTTCTCCTACAAAAGCCAGGAGGGCTAAGGGACATACTTATAAGCCAACCTCAAAGAGCATGTTCCTAGGACAATATCCACCTAGGGAAGGGGAAAAAAAAGAAAACATGGTAGTTTAAGTCTCAAAAAAAAACACTCCCATTTTGTTCTAGATGCTTAATTGTTAACTTCTATTCTTGTTTAACTAAGTCAGGGATGACCATATATCAACACTTCATGCTCTTTCCCCAGTCTCATCCTAAAAGAAAAGCTATTAAAAATTAAGATTTTTCTTAGCTTTACTTTTAGCTCCCTTTGCTCCATGGAGCAATCAAGTTCTCCATGAAATAACTTTACTTTAATCCACAGGTAGATTATGACAGTTTAATATTGTATTAGGCATGAATTCAGATTGCCTCTTTCACAGCAAGGCATTTACTAAGAAATGTCCAGTCAACATTTATTTCTTGTATCCTTTCCATATTTTCACAGGGAAAACAGCATAACATCACCTCTAAAACCTAAATAAAGCTCTTCCTTTGTGAGCACAGTGACTCTGAAGCTTACCTTTCTATAATACAACGCCAAATACAAACTATATCCCTTCTACCAGGACAACAGAATTGAAATTAATTTTCTTCAGTGGCCAGAAGCTCCAAATTATCTCATCTAGTTTAAACTTATGCTGTAAGTTCAACACTAGACAATCTCAGGGAAACAAGTTATTGTGGGTGAAAAAGCTAGGGTACCATCTCACAAAAGAGAAAAAGTAAAAAATAAATCACAGCAAAAGATTAAATAAGCAGGATGTTCCCAAGATCTCAACTAGAAAAAAAATGTCATTTAATGCAAGACAGTGATCTGGAAAGATGGTTCAGCAATAATCATTACAAAATTGGTAGAAGACAGAATTAAAGTTTATCAATGCCAAAGGAACTTCAAAAAAAAAACCTAATGAAGCTGACTGAATGAGCAACACAAAATTGGCACATTAAATCCAATTTGGACAAATGCAAGGTAATGAACCAGTCATCACGTATTATTGCTTTGATAATGAACAAAAGGAGTAACTGGGTCTCACACACTGCCAAGTTCTAAATTAATGAATCAGTGATAAAAAACAAAAACAAAAAAACAGAAAACCTGGCGTCATTTTAACATTCAACAGTGGTGAGGAGAGGAAGCTAATATTTGGATTAGAGGTGTAACTAATAATTTTGGCATCCTGGGAGACATGCCAGAAAGTGTGTTTGTGTTTTAAGGGCTGGGGGAGAGAATTACTCAGACCTGACTCTGAAGACTCAAAGACTCTGGGTACTGCTATTGCTAAGCAGGCACCACCTCTAAACCAGAACCAAGAACTGGTGTCTTACTGTTACATTAATGATTCAAACCAATAGCATAATTATGGAACAGAAAATTCTGAAACCATGACAATGCCAATACAGAAAAATCAACATTATGTCCTCATTTGAAATACCATGCCCAGTTCTATGTAATCTTATCTATAAGGCATAATAATTCCCGTGATGTATAATGAGCATTATTATTCTATGTCAAAAGCTCTCATCAATGTTTCTCCTGTCTCATCCCAGAGATGCTGAGAAGACAATCTTTAAAGTAAAGATTTACACGTTTTAAAATGGGGTGCAATTCCAAAACCATTGCTGGTCAAGTTGTATCAATTTACAGTCTCTGGTGAGATGGAAGAAAGTTTTTGTGATGGTAATCTGGGTGTAGAGACAAGAGGAGAAAACAGCCTGCTTCAGACATCTTTACAATAAAAGAATGGACTAGAAGGAATCTCAGTGTGCCCCAGGCAAAAAGATGGCAAGCTTGCCTGTTCCTCTTATGATTGCTTTTATTCAATTTGGAAAATTTCTGAAGGTGTCTGTTATATGTGGCACTAAACAAACTTTTCCTATAAAACCCTCCTAGAAACACCAAAGCAAGTATGGGTCCTAAAAAGATAAGGTCAAGGCTCATTTCTACTGAGACAGATTTGGTAACACATGTACTTCTGCTTGACAAGGCTAACAAGGGAAAAAGTCCCTGAATAGAACTAAATCAGTTACTACAGAGGGAGGGAAGATTTACACTTTTTTCCATAGATGGATATAGATGTTTCATATAAAGCAGGCTTACAAGCAGAGAAGAATGGAACTGAAGCCATACAAACAATTCTAACTTTTCATCAGCAAGATAAATTACAGGGAAGAAACTTTCATTGTATCGCAGGGGCCTAAAACAAGGTGCAACCTCCTAATTTGACCCCAATCCTTCAGTACAGGACAGAGTCAAGACAACTAGCCATGGTGGTTGGCTCAAGAGAAGTGTGGTGAACAAGGTATTCCATGGTCTCCTAGTTACTTGCCTTTACAGTTACTAAAGACTAGAGTTTAATTCTGCTAAAAGTTGGCACCTCAGCATGAACAAGGCTGGGTGTGAAAGTTTTTTCTTCTGAACAGTCATGACCTGCCCATGGACAAATATCAACATGATGACACAGTGATGAGCATAGTATAGTCTATTCTGGTTGCAGTAATGCCTCACGAAGATTTCTTCTTAACTGTAAGTCCTTGGCATCAACATGCCCAGATTGGCACGAACAAAGAATGTCAAATGATTTTTATTCATGAAATGTGTTTTAGAGTTTAAAATGAATATACTCTATTTTCTACAATGTCTTATTTTAGTATATTGGCAGGATTACTAAGTTGTTGAAAGGACTCGTTTTGCAAAAAGTCATTATCCCCTCCACTGGAGAAAGTACATACTCTTCAAACTTTGTTTTCTCACCAGTTCATGTCACTAGTTTTAAGAGGTAAGTGACCTAACTTTAGAAATGAGTTAGCTCAAGGAGGAAAGATCTGAAATCTGATCAGCTATAATTTTTTGCCACTACCATTTTATTACAAGCAGCAAAGATTTTATTTACCTTCTCCCTCTGTATTTGCAGTAATGTGGATGTACAAACATACTTTTAACATGATTCTTTAAGATGTTCCAACATGAATTTTTAATTGAATAATGATTACTATTAAAATCACTACTGCAAAGTTATGGTTAAAGTGGATTCTACAAGCTTTAGTACTGTAGAACATACTGACATGTTTAATCACAGCAATATAAATGCATAAAGAAAAATGCAAATGTCCATTTAACTCCCGAGTAATTTAAGTACTGTTTAAAGCTAATTATGTTTCCAAAAAATTAAAACAATTTAAGTTCTGTTTTCTTTTGTTACTTTAGGATTTACTTTAGGTCTATCTCCCTTCCACACACATCTCAGTGTTAAATGGATGTGCTAAATCAACGTAAGTTTTCACATAATTAAGATTTGTTCAAGGACACTGAAATCAACTACAGAACTCTAACTCTTAAGGTGTGTATAGAAGACTACAACTACCAGCAGAACCTTCTGTTTTTCCTCTGTAAAAGCAGTAGAAGTGCCCCTTTTCAACTGATTGTCTCTCCAAGCAAGTAGCAGCACATAAGTTGTTGGATAGAAGGTGATGCTCCATTTCCATAAAGGCCTGACTAGTTTTCAAAGTATGAACTATTGAGCAATGGGGATGCTACTATACTATTTTTGGCATAAGGAGTAGCGCTAAATATTTTGCTGAAAAGTTGATTAAAAAAAAGTCTTGCCAGATAGCCAGCTCTGTTAATGTTTAGAGGCCCAGAAGTTAAACTTAATGGAAGCCTTCATGTATTTGTCATTTATCTGCTTTTAAATACTTACAGTGAAAAATACGGAAATCAATGTATGGATGAGAACCTCTTCTCTCTGTTTCAAATCCTGCCCAACTTCTTACTCGCACATCTCCTAGAAACAGGGTCAAGAGTGAAATAAAAGTGTAGAAGAGTGGCAGAGATAAAATGCAATTGAACATAACTGCAAAGGGGTAAAGATTCATTTTTTAAAGGAGTAGGTTTATTCATACAATATGCCTATTTCAATGCTTTTTATTTTAGAGGTGAAGTTCAAAACAAAGTTTGAAGACTTGTTAAACATGCAACTGCATGCTTTTTGTCAAATTCTTTCCTGCCTAAGCAAATGTGGCCAAAAGCATGTGGTAAGCATTCAGATGAAATTAAGAACAGTTGGCTACACCATTTTAATGATAAAAAAATGCACCTAAATATGACAGGAAACAAGTATATTAAAACTTGATTTGTCCCTCAACACACAGAAAAACAATAACATTTTATAGTACAAAAGATTCTAGAAATGGTAGCTTTTAGCAAATAAGCTATTTACAGTATGTTCTCATATTAGATAACAGAACATTGTCTCACTAGTATTTACTTACTTGTGCTCAGCTGTTTGAATATTACACAAGAGCCTATTAAAATACCAAAACTCAGTATTAAAATTTTGGAGCATAGAACTATTTTCTACTTCAGCTATAACAATCAACTTTAAGCTGAATCTCTTAACATAATACTGATGTCTACATTAACTTTTTACCAACTGAAAGCTGTGTGTTCATTTACTAATTCTTTGTACATGTTAATTATTTAATTAAAATACACTTGCAATTAAAAATCCTTTTGGTTCTTATAAACTGAGACAATTCCTTGAGGATCGATTGTAACAGTAACACAGTATTATGTTGGTCTCAAGTCTTAACACAATATGAAAACGCTGGAAAATTCCCAGAAAACCTATTTATCAAACTCTTACATGCATATCACAACCCTCTCCTCAAAAAGTTATGCAAGGTAAAAGCAAGGAACAAACTGAGGGTGCTGAATGGAGATAACAAAAGACTGGATTGCAAACATTTACGAGGAGTACTGAAATATCTGCAGCTATTTAAGTTCCAGGAAATGCTACCATTCCAGTGTACTGAAACTGTTCCATCCCTCCCCATCTCTAAGTAGTTTATTCATAAGTCACGGACATCATTAAAACAAACAGCAGACAACATTTCTCATGTCAGAACTGTAAGCAGAGTCTTATATGAATGGAATCTGGCAAGTACAATGTGCAAGTATCACAAAGATGAGCAGACCTAGCACACAATGTGTATCATAAATTAGAACGTTTCAATGCCACTAAACTCAGACTGTACAACTACTCCTCGCTTAACGTCGTAGTTACGTTATTGAAAAACTTGACAAAGTGAAACGATGTTAAGCAAATCCAATTACATGTTTCCCTTGCCAACCACGGGGGTTAGGTTCCTGAAAGTTCCTGTAGTTGGGAAAATCCACAGAGCTGGAGAAGCAGGGGCTGTGGGTGGGGGGTGAGGGACACCAGCAAGGCTGTTGGAGCTGAGAGAGGCACGAGCAGCACTAGAGGCACCCTCCCGCCCCTTCTCTGAAGCACAGATACTCAAAACCATGGTTGGCAAAGGTAAACTGTACATCACAGTAGTTGCCTACTAGCAGACAGCAGCCAAACAACATTATAACCAAACATCGCACAACTTTCAATAAGTATGTTCTCTAATAGATCAGCGACATAATAACAAAACAATGTTACCTGGGACAAGGTTAAGTGAGGAGTACCTATATATATTTCTTAGTTCTTCTTTCCTTGAATTTTCAATTTTTAAAAGCATGCTTAATGAAAATGATAGCAGGTTTCAGAAAAATGGAAACTAACTTCACATCCAGACATAAATCTAGGGTTACCATACATCTGGGTTTTCCTGGACATGTCCTCTTTTTGGGTCCTCCCATCTCCATCCAGGCATTTTTTTTAAATATCAACAAATGTTCGAGATTTTGGTCTGCTCAGCATCCACGTTTTCCCTGGCACTTACTGGCTTGCCCTAGCAAGAAGCTGCTTGGGGCTGGGAAGAGCGACTGGAGGCAAGGACTTCACATGAGCATCCCTGGCAGCTAAATGCAGGCAAGCCTATGGGGGGCAGGTAGAGGGCCAGGGCTTGAGGACTGTTTGTGGTATGTGCGTCTGTCAGGAGTGTATGATGGGGGCAGGTGCCTGCTGGTGGTGGAGGAAGCTGTCTGGGTGCTGGGGCTGCAGCAGAGTGGGTGAGGCGCCTACCCCTCCATGGGAGAAAGGGGCTGGGAGGCCCTTCAGGGGCAGCAGGGAGCTATGTGGCCGGGTCAGCAGCACCAGGACAGGTGCCCTTGCTCACAGGGATGGGGCAACCGGGAGATGCTGCAGAGCTGGGGGGCAGCAGGGGGCTGCAGGTTAAAAGTGAAGAGCACCGGCAGGGCTGGGGGGGCTGCAGGTCAAGAGTGAGGGGCATCAGCAAGAACAGGGTTACCGTGGTTCAGGAGTGAGGGGCAGCAGTACAGCTGGGGAGGCTGTGACTTGGGAGTGAGAGACAGGTGCAGGGCATCGGCATATCACTGCCCGCCCTCCCCAATCCTATTACCCACCACCACCAGGTTTTCTCTTTTTTTGGAGCTGGAAATATGGTAACCCCAATTAATCCTCACCTCTGAGGCAAAAATGCCAGACTGCAAAGCTAACAAATGTTCAAATGCGAAGCAGAGTAAGAGGGTGTTGAGCGCAGCCATGTTGGTCTAAGGATATAGGCAAACAAGGTTCTGTGGGAAATTGTGATATCTTTTATTAAACCAACTAAATAACTGGAAACAGTTGTTCTTTGCAACTTTCAGGCACAAACCCTTCTTCAGGCACAGCCAGATGACTCTCCCTATACTTGAAGAAGGGTATTTGTGCCTGAAAGCTTGCAGAGAACAATTTTTTCACCTGTTTAGTTAGTCTAATAAAAGATATCACATTTACTCAAAGAACCTTGTCAAGCAGAGTAAGAAACCTTTGTCTTACTTTTCCAGAATATATGAAGGCAACACTGTAGAATTCTTCTGATAGGTGTGAAGATTTAAAGAAAGCTGGTAAATAATAGGCTTACTAATGTGACCTTAGTAAAATGTTTTATAGAAGGATTAGTAAGAAAGAGAGAGAAAAGGGAAGAAGACTATGCATTAATAATATCTGCATATGAAAACAGCAAATGAATAAAAATGAAAGTGCTTTCCCCAGTCTCAAAAAGTGGATTGGCCAACTACATTAACAATCTATTGCAAAAACCTATATAAAACGTTTCATAGTTTTACTGAATTACTTTTTCTTTTTTATCTTTTTAAAATTAAATTTAGGTAAATTTAGAAATAAATATTTTCACTGATGGGGAACATGTTAAACTGATGGGGAGATGCAACTTGGGGTCTGCCAAATAAAGCCACATAAGTAGCAGAAACAAATATTTACCTGAGAAGTAATAGCAATCCAGAAAAACATTCTTGACCATGTTCACATTTGGTAGGGTCCAGAGTTTGACATTACAGATGGTCTATTAAAGTACCCCACACTACTCCCAAAGTGTATATGGTAATGCTTAAAATGGATAAAAAATGGTTTGATACCTTTATAGCAATCATACTTTGATGATTTCAAAAGAGGTGGGGGTGGTTTTTTGCATTCTACCAAAATGGATGAATGTTTAACTGCTAGGCTGACCTTTGGTTTTGAAGCTGAGAGAAAGACGACACATCTAAAACTGTGTAACATTCTACAAATCAGAAAGTTTCATAGTGCAGAGACACTAATGAGAAGAGGTTTCTTCTAGTGGTCTGAGTGAAAACATTTTGTTCTGCAAGCTCACCAGCTGAAATACACCACTAGTGATACACAAAGACAGTGCAACTGACTGGAAGGATTTATAGATGGTAGGGTTAGAAGGGACCTCAACAGATCATTGAGTCTGACCCCCTGCCTAGGCAGGAAAGAGTGCTGGGATTAGATGACCCCAGCCAGATGCCTATCCTGCCTTCTCTTAAAGACCCCCAAGGTAGGGGAGACCACCACCTCCCTTGGAAGCCCATTGCAAATTTTAACCACCCTTATCAGGAAAAACTTCTTCATGGTATCTAGCCTAAATCTGCTCTCTGTCAGTTTGTGACCACTGTTCCTTGTTACCATGAGGCGCCCTGGTGAACAGAGCATCTCCAATCCCTTGCTGCATCCCCTTAATGAATTTGTAGGTGACCACAGGATCACCTCTCAGCCTTCTCTTGCAGAGGTCCCTCAGTCTCTCCTCATAGGACTTATCCCGTAAGCCCCTAACCATACAAGTAGAACTCCTATGGACCCTCTCAAGTCTACCAACATCCTTCCTGAAGTACGGTGCCCAAAACCGGACACAATACTCCAACTGCAGTATGACCAATAGAGGGGAAGTATCACCTCCTTGGTTCTATTTATCATGCATCAGCAGATGGATGACAAAGTGCAGTTAGCTTTGCTGATGATTTTGTCACACTGACAACTCATGTTCATCTTGGAGTCCACTGCAACTCCGAGATCCCTTTCCGCATCTGTGCTGCTAAGAGGATCACTTCCCAGCCAATACATGTGCTGGATATTTTTGTGCCCTAGGTGCAGCACTCTGCACTAGTCCTTGTTGTACTGCACCCTATTGTGTACTGCCCACTTTTCTACCCTGTCCAGGTCTGCCTGCAATCATTCCCTACCCTCCAGAATGAAAAACACTTTGGGGGAATAATTAGCTGAAAAGAAACAGGGAGCCAACAATGAGCAAGAGACAATAGTGGTGAGATGAGACCGTGATGAAAAATTGTATCTACAGAACAGAGTTGAAATTTCCCAATTATGGACAAAAAAGTTAAAGTGGAGCAAGGTATTTTTTACTGAGCACTTGACAAGGCAAACAAGAAGATTATTCTTGGCTAAGCGAAAGAATGGGAGGAAATTAATTAAAAACAGGGTATTATTTAGTGAGACTCTGGAAAGCAGCCAAGTTTTTAACCTCAAAAGACCCTTCATGTATAAGGCCCCTGGGCAGACATTAGTTATTTCCATCAAGCAACAGGCAATATCACTCAATGGAAACTGTCATGCTATGCGACCTGCTTCACATTCAAAGGGCAAGCTATCCAGAGGGAAAAAAGATCTTGGGAACTTGCTCTGTCAGTACTTCCCAACAAGGGGAGCTGGAGAGCTGCTGGCAAGGGCTGTCCTCTCTCTCTCTCTACAGCTGTGCTGGGAATGAGAAAACAATGGAGCTGCTCCCCGGACCCTTGTGCAGAGTCAGGGAGACCAGGGTGAAGGGCAGAGGGGGTGGGCTCACTCTCCAGGGGTCTTATGAGGTGCTTTTGTCTATGTGCTTGTCCTGCCCACAGGTTTCTGAATAAAATTCCCTCCCCCACCTCTTCCTAAGTCAGACAAGTAAAGCAGGTCAACCCAAGTGTCTATTTACACTCTGGGCTTCACCAAGAGGTTCTAATCCCTTCTTAAAGCAGCAGCCTTGAAGGCTGGTTGAAGAAAGAAGAGGGGCAGTGAGACATCTCACAGCCTGGAGCAGCAGTTAAGCATGAGTCA